CACTACGATATCTACTTCGTCAATCACTCCTGAAGAAGGGATCACGTCGTCAACAATGACGACTACTCCGTCCTTATCTACAACTCCGACTCCCGATGTTACCGCGACTTCTACTACGACGCAGGGTCCCGGGGAAGATTGGCTCGATGGATTGTCCTCTTCTAGTACTACGACAACTACTGCATCGACGACTACTGGAAAAGCGACCACGTCCACAATAATGACAACTACTCCGTCTTTCTCTACAACGCCGACTACCGACTTCGCCGCGACCTCTACTGCGACAGGGAGTCTCGGGGGAGATGAGCTCGATGAATTGTCTTCTTCTAGTACTGCGACATCTACTACATCGACCAGTACTGAGGAAGGGATCACGTCCACAACAGTGACAGCTACTTTGTCTTCCTCTACAACGCCGACTACCGACTTCGCCGCGACCTCTACTACGACAGAGAGTCTCGAGGAGGGCTGGGCCGATGAACTGTCCTCTTCAAGTACTACGACATCTACTACATCGACCAGTACTGGAGAAGCGATCACGTCCACAACAGTGACAACAACTCTGTTTTTCTCCACAACGCCGACTACCGACTTCGCCGCGACCTCTACTACGGAAGAGAGTATCGAGGAGCGCTGGGTCGATGAACTGTCCTCTTCTAGTACTACGATATCTACTACATCGACCACTACTGGAGAAGCGACCACGTCGTCAACAATAACAACTACTCCGACCTTCTCTACGACTCCAACCGACGTTACCGCGACTCCTACTACGACGCAGAGTCTCGGGAGTAATTGGTTGGATGAGGTGTCCTCTTCTAATACTACGACATCTACTACATCAAGCACTATCGAAGAAGTGATCACATCCTCAACAGTAACAACTACTCTGTCCTCCGCGACAACTTCGACTACCAAGGTTACTGCGACTCCTATTACGACGGAAATTCTCGAGGAAGTTCGGGTCGATGAATTGCCTTCTTCTAGTACTACGAAATCTATCGCATCGACCACTACGGAGCAGGCGACCACGTCCTCAACAACCATGACTACTCTGTCCTCCGCGACAACTCCGGCTACCGAGGTTACCGCGACTCCTACTACGACGGAAAGTTTCGAGGAAGCTTGGGTCGATGAATTGTCATCTTCCAGTACTACGACATCTAGTACATGGAACACTACCGAAGGGGTGACCACGCCCTCAACAACCATAACTAGTCTGTCCTCTACAACTCCGACTACCAAGGTCACTGAGACTCCTACTACGACGGAGAGCCTCGAGGAAGTTTGGTTGGAAGAGTCGTCTTCTTCCAGTACTACGACTTCTAGTACGTGGATCACTACCGGAGAGGCGACCACGTCCTCAGCAACCACAACTACTCTGCCCTCTATAACTCCGACTACCGAGGTTACTGCGACTCCCACGACGATAGAGGGTCTCGAGGGAACTAGGGTCGATGAACTGTCTCCTAGTACTACGACACCTACTACGCCGGCCACTACTGGAGAAGCGATCACGTCCTCAACAACCACAACTACTCTGTCCTCCGCGACAATTTCCACTACCGAGGTTACTACGACTCCTACTATGACGGAGAGTCTCGAGAAAGTTTGGGTTGGGGAATTGTCTTCTTCAAGTACTACCATATCTACTACGCCGAGCACTGCTGAAGAAGCGAGCACGTCCTCGACAACCACAACTACTCTGTCTCCCCCTAAAACTCCGACTACCGAGGTTCCTGCGACGGAGAGTCTCGCGGAAGTTTGGGTCGATGAACTGTCCTTTCCCAGTACTACGACAGCTAGTACATCGACTACTACTGAAGAAGCGATCACGCCATCAACAACCACAACTACTCTGTCCTCCGCGACAACTTCGACTACCGAGGTTACTGCGACTCCTACTACGACGGAAAATCTCGAGGAAGTTTGGGTCGATGAATTATCTTCTTCTAGTACTACGACATCTACCACATCGACCACTGCGGAAGACGCAACCACATCCTCAACAACCATGACTACTCTGTCCTCTACAACTCCGACTACCGAAGTTGCTGCGACTTCTACTCTGACTTCCACGACGACAGAGGGTCTCGAGAAAACTAGGGTCGATGAATTGTCTTCTTCTAGTACTACGACATCCATTACATCGACCACTACTGAAGAAGCGATCACGTCGCCATCAACCCGAACTATTCTCTCCTCCGCGACAACTTCGACTACCGCGGCTACAGCGACTCCTACTACGACGGAAATTGTCGAGGAAGTTTGGGTCGAGGAATTGTCTCCTTCCACTACTACGACATCTTCTACGTCGACCACTACTGGAGGAGCGATCACGTCCTCAACCACCACAACTAGTCTGTCCTCTACAACTCCGACTACCGAAGTTGCTGCGACTTCTACTGTGACTTCCACGACGACAGAGGGTCTCGAGAAAACTAGGGTCGATGAA